CATCTCAGTGTCTCGGAGCGTCGACCCCAACACACAACGTAACAACAACGTTTGTTTTGACGTTGTCAAAACGTTATGACGTCGCTGCTATGGGGCATGGAGGGTAGCGGACGAGGGTAGAGGGAAGCAGACGAGGGTGGAGGGAAGCAGACGAGGGTGGAGGGAAGCAGACAAGGGTGGAGGGAAGCAGACAAGGGTGGAGTGAAGCAGACGAGGGTGGAGGGAAGCAGACGAGGGTGGAGGGAAGCAGACGAGGGTGGAGGGAAGCAGACGAGGGTGGAGGGAAGCAGACAAGGGTGGAGGGAAGCAGACAAGGGTGGAGGGAAGCAGACAAGGGTGGAGGGCAGCTGACAAGGGTGGAGGGAAGCAGACAAGGGTGGAGGGCAGCTGACAAGGGTGGAGGGAAGCAGACAAGGGTGGAGGGAAGCAGACAAGGGGGGAGGGTAGCAGACAAGGCTGGAGGGAAGCAGACGAGGGTGGAGGGAAGCAGACAAGGGTGGAGGGAAGCAAACGAGGGTGGAGGGAAGCAGACAAGGGTGGAGGGAAGCAGACAAGGGTGGAGGGAAGCAGACAAGGGTGGAGGGAAGCAGACAAGGGTGGAGGGAAGCAGACAAGGGGGGAGGGAAGCAGACAAGGGGGAGGGAAGCAGACAAGGGTGGAGGGAAGCAGACGAGGGTGGAGGGAAGCAGACAAGGGTGGAGGGAAGCAGACGAGGGTGGAGGGAAGCAGACGAGGGTGGAGGGAAGCAGACAAGGCTGGAGGGAAGCAGACAAGGCTGGAGGGAAGCAGACAAGGCTGGAGGGAAGCAGACAAGGCTGGAGGGAAGCAGACAAGGCTGGAGGGAAGCAGACAAGAGTGGAGGGAAGCAGACAAGGGTGGTAGGAAGCAGACAAGGGTGGAGGGAAGCAGACAAGGGTGGAGGGAAGCAGACGAGGCTGGAGGGAAGCAGACAAGGGTGGAGGGAAGCAGACAAGGGTGGTAGGAAGCAGACAAGGCTGGAGGGAAGCAGACAAGGCTGGAGGGAAGCAGACAAGGCTGGAGAGAAGCAGACAAGGCTGGAGGGAAGCAGACAAGGCTGGAGGGAAGCAGACAAGGCTGGAGGGTAGCGATCATAGGATCATCTAAAAGGTTTTAATAATATTTCAAAACAAGACTATTTTCTTCCTATCCTTTATGACTATTTAATTATGGAAGGAAGAGGAACTGAGCCTTGAACCAGCGACCTTGATTATCTTGAGTTATCTTGAGTTGATTTCGGGGCTTTAGTGTCCCCGCGGCCCGGTCCTAGACCAGGCCTCCACCCCCAGGAAGCAGCCCGTGACAGCTGACTAACTCCCAGGTACCTATTTACTGCTAGGTAACAGGGACATTCAGGGTGAAAGAAACTTTGCCCATTTGTTTCTGCCTCGTGCGGGAATCGAACCCGCGCCACAGAATTACGAGTCCTGCGCGCTATCCACCAGGCTACGAGGCCCTATTTTATCGATCAGTGTCAAGCATAACATTATAGAGAGGATATCAACCGGGATATCAACCTTGGAACAGATAGCATAATCACCACTAATCCGTCTGGCTTTTATCGAAATGTTATTGACCTTATATCCATGTTCTATCGTCGTGTTATCAAGGTGTTATCGACCTGATATTCATGTTCTATCGCCGTGTTAACAAGGTGTTATCGACCTGATAGCCATGTTATATCGCCATGTTATCAAGAGGTTATCGATCTGATATCCATGTTCTATCGCCATGTTATCAGCGTGTTATCGACCTGATATCCATGTTCCATGATCATGTTATCAACTTGTTACCGACGTGTTATCAACATGTTATCGACGTGATATCCATATTCTATCGCCATGTTATCAACGTGTTATTAACGTGATATCCATGTTCTATCACAGTGTTATCAACGTGTTATCGACGTGATATCCATATTATATCGCCATTTTATCAGCGTGTTATTGACGTGATATCGTGTTATCATCGCCATTGGAGTCACTTCCCTGTGTGTTTTTATCGGAATGGTGTATATAACGCCATATGAGGACGTATATGAGGACGTATATGAGGACATATATGAGGACGTATATGAGGACGTATATGAGGACGTATATGAGGACATATATGAGGACGTATATGAGGACGGATATGAGGACGTATATGAGGACGTATATGAGGACGTATATGAGGACGTATATGAGGACGGATATGAGGACGTATATGAGGAAGTATATGAGGACGTATATGAGGACGTATATGAGGACGTATATGAGGACGTATATGAGGACGGATATGAGGACGGATATGAGGACGTATATGAGGACGTATATGAGGACGTATATGAGGACGTATATGTGGACGGATATGAGGACGTATATGAGGAAGTATATGAGGACGTATATGAGGACGTATATGAGGACGTATATGAGGACGTATATGAGGACGGATATGAGGACGGATATGAGGACGTATATGAGGACGTATATGAGGACGTATATGAGGACGTATATGAGGACGGATATGAGGACGTATATGAGGACGTATATGAGGACGTATATGAGGACGTATATGAGGACGTATATGAGGACGGATATGAGGACGTATATGAGGACGTATATGAGGACGGATATGAGGACATATATGAGGACATATATGAGGACGGATATGAGGACGTATATGAGGAAGTATATGAGGACGTATATGAGGACGGATATGAGGACGGATATGAGGACGGATATGAGGACGGATATGAGGACGTATATGAGGACGTATATGAGGACGTATATGAGGACGTATATGAGGACGTATATGAGGACATATATGAGGACGTATATGAGGACGGATATGAGGACGGATATGAGGACATCAATTTTCCTTTTTATTTATGAAGACAATTTCAGCGAGTTGCTTTGTTTGTTGATTGTTAAGAAGTTGAGAAGTGGGAAGTGTGTCTGTGGGCGTCTGTGGGAAGTTGAGAAGTGGGAAGTGTGTCTGTGGGTATTTGTGGGAAGTTGGGAAGTGGGAAGTGTGTCTGTGGGTATTTGTGGGAAGTTGAGAAGTGGGAAGTGTGTCTGTGGGCGACTGTGGGAAGTTGGGAGGTGGGAAGTGTGTCTGTGGGCGTCTGTGGGAAGTTGAGAAGTGGGAAGTGTGTCTGTGGGCGTCTGTGGGAAGTTGAGAAGTGGGAAGTGTGTCTGTGGGCGACTGTGGGAAGTGGGAAGTGTGTCTGTGGGCGTCTGTGGGAAGTTGAGAAGTGGGAAGTGTGTCTGTGGGCGTCTGTGGGAAGTTGAGAAGTGGGAAGTGCGACTGTGGGAAGTTGAGAAGTGGGAAGTGTGTCTGTGGGCGTCTGTGGGAAGTTGAGAAGTGGGAAGTGTGTCTGTGGGCGACTGTGGGAAGTTGAGAAGTGGGAAGTGTGTCTGTGGGCGACTGTGGGAAGTTGAGAAGTGGGAAGTGTGTCTGTGGGCGACTGTGGGAAGTTGAGAAGTGGGAAGTGTGTCTGTGGGCGTCTGTGGGAAGTTGAGAAGTGGGAAGTGTGTCTGTGGGCGACTGTGGGAAGTTGAGAAGTGGGAAGTGTGTCTGTGGGCGTCTGTGGGAAGTTGGGAAGTGGGAAGTGTGTCTGTGGGCGACTGTGGGAAGTTGAGAAGTGGGAAGTGTGTCTGTGGGCGTCTGTGGGAAGTTGAGATGTGGGAAGTGTGTCTGTGGGCGTCTGTGGGAAGTTGAGAAGTGGGAAGTGTGCCTGTGGGCGTCTGTGGGAAGTTGAGAAGTGGGAAGTGTGTCTGTGGGCGACTGTGGGAAGTTGAGAAGTGGGAAGTGTGTCTGTGGGCGACTGTGGGAAGTTGAGAAGTGGGAAGTGTGTCTGTGGGCGTCTGTGGGAAGTTGAGAAGTGGGAAGTGTGTCTGTGGGCGTCTGTGGGAAGTTGAGAAGTGGGAAGTGTGTCTGTGGGCGTCTGTGGGAAGTTGAGAAGTGGGAAGTGTGTCTGTGGGCGACTGTGGGAAGTTGAGAAGTGGGAAGTGTGTCTGTGGGCGACTGTGGGAAGTGTGTCTGTGGGTGACTGTGGGAAGTTGGGAAGTGGGAAGTGTGTCTGTGGGCGACTGTGGGAAGTTGGGAAGTGGGAAGTGTGTCTGTGGGCGACTGTGGGAAGTTGGGAAGTGGGAAGTGTGTCTGTGGGCGTCTGTCGGAAGTTGGGAAGTGGGAAGTGTGTCTGTGGGTGACTGTGGGAAGTTGAGAAGTGGGAAGCTCCTCTGTGGCATTACAGAAGGCCCCACAGTGTCCAGAATACTGAAGATCAATGTTAATACAGAAAAGTAATTGCGACTTCAGGTATTTTTTTCCTTTAAGTGCTTTGAGTGGCCGTTAACAAAGTGGCCGTTAACAAAGTGGCCGTTAACAAAGTGGCCGTTAACAAAGTGGGCATTAACAAAGTGGGCATTAACAAAGTGGCCGTTAACAAAGTGGCCGTTAACAAAGTGGGCATTAACAAAGTGGCCGTTAACAAAGTGGCCGTTAACAAAGTGGCCGTTAACAAAGTGGGCATTAACAAAGTGGCCGTTAACAAAGTGGGCATTAACAAAGTGGGCATTAACAAAGTGGGCATTAACAAAGTGGGCATTAACAAAGTGGGCATTAACAAAGTGGGCATTAACAAAGTGGCCGTTAACAAAGTGGGCATTAACAAAGTGGGCATTAACAAAGTGGGCATTAACAAAGTGGCCGTTAACAAAGTGGGCATTAACAAAGTGGCCGTTAACAAAGTGGCCGTTAACAAAGTGGGCATTAACAAAGTGGCCGTTAACAAAGTGGTTGTTAACAATATGATCATTAACAAAGTAATGCATGGAGGAGATGGGGGGGGGGGTGGTAACTCGATAAGCCTAATTACAATCTTTCTATCTCCGATAATAATTATTTCTCTCAGCGATGAATGTTCTCTGTTCTTCCTCTCATGCTGAATGCTGAATGCGAACCACAACAACTTGATGAATCAATAAATACATGTTGAGGCTACACGATGGGATCGAACCGCTGGCCTCATCGGCCTTAGGCACACTCACTACCAACTGGACCATGATGATCTAATAGATTAGCCACTAGAGAGGTCCACTAGACGAACCCAGGCCGAAGCGCTTGCGAAGCACCGGACGAGTGTGTCACCACTGCGCCACGGAGGACAAGGGCGAGAGCCTTCAGATTTTCTAGCGTCGACTCCAATCGTCAAGATTGTAACTTGTATTGTGATTGTGGTAAGGGTAAGTTAGATGCGGTTAGGTTAGGTTTGGTTTGGTTAGGTTAGGTTCGGTTAGGTTAGGTTGGGTTCGGTTAGGTTGGGTTTGGTTAGGTTCGATTAGGTTCGTTTCGATTAGGTTCGGTTCGGTTCGGTTAGGTTGGGTTACGTTAGGTTGGGTTACGTTAGGTTCGGTTAGGTTCGGTTAGGTTGGGTTAGGTTGGGTTACGTTAGGTTAGGTTAAGTTGGGTTAGGTTAGGTTAGGTTAGGTTAGGTTGGTTGGGTTAGGTTAGGTTAGGTTGGGTTAGGTTAGGTTAGGTTGGGTTAGGTTAGGTTAGGTTGAATTAGGTTTGGTGGCGTTAGGTTAGGCTAGGTTGGGTTGGGTTGGGATTTAGTTAATTGAGATATCGTTAGGTTAGGTTGTAGTTAAGTATTTTTTGCCACACCGATATCTTCAAGTTTTGTTGCAATCGGCTCTTGAAAAGATATCCATAGATAACCAGCACTAGATTATTCTATATTTTCAAAGCTATTTGCTACATAATTAAATTCAACTCTCTAGACAAGGATAAAAAAAATAAATTTGTACAAATAAATTTATTTCACACATTAGACACACCACCTTACAAAAAGGCTGGATTAAGAGGATAAAAAGGATTTAGTGAATTTGGCTACAATACGCCATTGAAAAATTTAACTACTTTTGGAAACTAGTGAAAAGTAGATCTGCTAAACAAACTACCTTTGAAGATTTCTTTTAAAATCATTATATATTTTTTGTCCGAGACAATGACCTAACATGGAATAAATGGCCTTACGCTTCCACGCGACTCAATTGGGTATATTATGGGAAAACAAATAAAAAATAATTGAGACGTTTTTCCCAAAAACCTGCAATTAATATGAATTTTCAAAACAAGTAAAGTTCAACATGTCAATATTTTTTATTTGTTGAGACCAGAATTATTTTTGTGTAACTTGTTGAGACTAAAAATTATTTTTGTGTGACTTGTTGAGACAAAAATTATTTTTGTGTGACTTGTTGAGACCAAAAATTATTTTTGTGTGACTTGTTGAGATCAAAAATTATTTTTGTGTGACTTGTTGATACCAAAATTACTTTTTTGTGACTTGTTGAGACCCGAATTATTTTTGTGTAACTTGTTGAGACCAAAATTATTTTTGTGTAACTTGTTGAGACCAAAAATTATTTTTGTGTGACTTGCGACCAAAATTATTTTTTTGTGACTTGTTGAGACCAAAATTATTTTTGTGTAACTTGTTGAGACAAAAGTTATTTTTTTGTGACTTGTTGAGACAAAAGTTATTTTTGTGTGTGACTTGTTGATACCAAAATTATTTTTGTGTAACTTGTTGAGACCAAAATTATTTTTGTGTGACTTGTTGAGACCAAAATTATGTTTTTGTGACTTGTTGAGACAAAAGTTATTTTTGTGTGACTTGTTGATACCAAAACTATTTTTGTGTAACTTGTTGAGACCAAAATTATTTTTGTGTGACTTGTTGAGACCAAAATTATTTTTGTGTGTCTTGTTGAGACCAGAATTATTTTTGTGTAACTTGTTGAGACCAAAATTATTTTTGTGTGACTTGTTGAGACCAAAATTATTTTTGTGTGACTTGTTGAGACCAAAATTATTTTTGTGTGTCTTGTTGAGACCAGAATTATTTTTGTGTAACTTGTTGAGACCAAAATTATTTTTGTGTGACTTGTTGAGACCAAAATTATTTTTGTGTGACTTGTTGAGACCAAAAATTATTTTTGTGTGACTTGTTGAGACCAAAATTATTTTTGTGTGACTTGTTGAGACCAAAAATTATTTTTGTGTGACTTGTTGAGACCAACAATTATTTTTGTGTAACTTGAGACCAAAATTATTTTTGTGTGACTTGAGACAAAAAATTATTTTTGTGTGACTTGTTGAGACCAAAATTATTTTTGTGTGACTTGTTGATACCAAAATTATTTTTGTGTAACTTGAGACAAAAATTATTTTTGTATAACTTGAGACCAAAATTATTTTTGTGTGACTTGTTGAGACCGAAGTTCTATAATCTCATTGACAGCGACAATGTCAACAAAATTCCCATAGAAATGACAATACAGTACATTACAAAACATAAACAAATTAATACCAGTTATTGTAGTAAACTCTATACACATAAAATACATAAACTTTATTTTTTGTTTGCAATAATAAGCACAACAGTAATAAATACAATAATATTGTAATTATGAGACATAGTTAATAGATTAC